ACCTTTCGGTGTGAGACAGAATATGTCGTCCACGTAACGGCAGTATAGACTCATTTGCTCTATTGCTTGCTTCAACGTTGTACTTCTAATTTGGCCATAAATATGTCTACTAACTATGAGCCTAATGTTCGCCTTCGGACTTGTGTTCCGATATACATATATATATTTAGATATATATCAAGAGAAGGCAGTGAGTAGGGCTTCCTCAACAAAGGCTATTTGAGACGCTTGGTCGTGTGGGAGCATTTCGCGAGGTGCATGGGAAGCATGAGCAGCCGCAACCCTAGACACCCACCCCGGACCATAATCAGGCTTTTGTACCGTGATTTGTTAGGACACACGTGATCTGGACCCAGATGTGTTTTCTAAGGAGAGCGTAAAAATGAAAGGACCGAACAGTATGCTTTGATTGGTTACTTGTGTTATCAATCAGCAAAGGTAATTCGCGAAGCTTAGGCAAGGAACGAAACATACTGTACACAGAACATTGAACAAAAAGCGAAATACAATAGGACTGTTGAGAGAAATAATAACCTTGTCTGAAACACCGAGGCACACACATCTCCGAGGAAACGCTATTCACGATCAAGCGGTTCGTTGTGGGTATAAAAGCAACTCTCAAGAGGCGCGATTGGGGCGATTTGTTATGTAATACGCAAGGATTCGTCTAATGATGAATTAAATCTCGTCCGGGTGTAGCAAGCACGCCTGGAAGAGTATCCGGCTGTTATATTGTTTTATACATACTATATTTATTATATTTCACACACACGTCTGATGTAGAATATTTTTCACGGGTCACTTCAACACGAGATTTAAAAAAAACTCAGGCCTGTAGCCGGGGTCACGAAACAACCAAAACCATTCAGTCAACTAGAGCATTTCCCATCTGCAACACATACGAACTGTGCTCGGTCTGTCGCGGAGGGGGGGGGGGGGTCCGGTACGATGTTTAGGTGCTAGCGGGCATGCACACACACACACACACACACCGAACAAACACGCACATACACGTCCGCTTAGCAACCAAAACCATAACAGTGCGGTATATATTGTGTGCCACTTACAATATGGACAATACGGAATTGCACTTTCCCCGTACTAAACGCACGTGTCTGCGATTCACTGGACGTGCTCGATTTTGCTGAAGTGTCACGATGCTCGTCCACTCCGTTCACGCGAGACGGGGTCGACGCGACCAGGGCACAATCCGCCAGCACGTCTACCGGATACAGTACGGGTTTCTGAGTGGATCGGGAGAAAAATTTCGGACGACGAAACGATGGCGTGACTTGATCAATCTTGATCCCATCCTTCGACACATCTGGACGGACATCAGTAACGAAGTGAAGAATGGTGGTGACAATGGATGAGATCGAATCAGTTTTATAAATTCTAATCTCACGTTTTAAGAACCAAGAAATGATTGGACCGGGAATAATAGGAGCAGAAAATTGAGTCGGGAAGTCAGGAGTTAAACGTTCCACGTAAACAATGGTTTACAGGAACCCGCTTTTATTTCACGCTACTCAAACCCACTCAGTAGTATGTTCAGTTCCTCAAAAATAAAGTCAGAGAAATAGTTTCTTCGCACTTTGATCTATTCGTGTGAACCGGTTTTTTTTTAAATTATCTGTTGTACAGTTTGTGTTCATACATTCTATGCATACATGCACTTTAATGGGAAGGTCTTGGTTGCTATCTTTTCGTCATGCACTCACGTGATCGAACGACAGGATGGAAAAACAGATAGAAAATACAGCCGAACCTTATGAGCACTGAAAACGAAAGGATGCGTGATCAGTACAGTTAACAATGCCCAGCGATAAACAGTGGTGCAACTGTATATAGTCCCAGTTCCTCGCCGAACTGATATCGTTGACTAAAGGCCAATCTGATTATTGCGTAATGATAAATGCTAAGAAATATTTTATTTCCCTTTTATTTACTAAGTAAGCAAACGCACAATCAATTTTCCGTAACGGACGCGGCCATACAAAGATTGCCTGGGAATTACAGAGATGAGAGATTAGGCGGCGATGGTGGGATTCGAACTCAGGACCTTCGGGTCACAATTTTGATAATCATAACTGATCGATCACCGCCAGAGCTCGAAATCCCGAAATGAAAACGGTGGACAAAATGCATTACTATTTATTCGTGGCATGGATGAAACTACTAGACTGTGCTTTCAAAGCGTTTCAATGTTGAGAGCACTTTGACTTGATATCCTGAACATACTTTTCACTTAAATGCGCTGGTCGACAAAGAGCATTGGACAGCTATTTCGTCAAGTTTGGGACTCATCAGCAGTGCGTTCTTTTGTGAATATATAGGACAACAACTCTTAGAAGAGCGAATTGGACAATCAAAGGGCTGCCATACAATACAGAAAGGGGAAGTTAGGCGATGGTGATGCAATTTAAATACACGTCCTGCGGGGTGATGGTTTGGTGACATTACCACAGAGCCATTATCCTCCTGGTGAGTTAGAAAATACAGTGCGACAATACAACTGTCCAATCATTAAATAACCTGTTGCCTAACTGCACTGCACTGCACATCCTCGTGTTGGAGCAACACATCTATTATCATCATCATTGTACAGCGTAATACGGTGAAGCGAATTTCACTGATCGCTGCCAAACTCATAATGCATACAAGATAAGTGAGAATGTGTTTATTTGCTCCGGTGTATTTGTGGTCAATCTGGTTGCCATGTACTATCAAACCAGTTGGGCCATTCCCATGGTGACCACATTTATGGTGAATGCCATTGTCCTGTGTGTGATCATTCCGCTCAATCTGGTCGGAACCGTGATTGGCCGGAACGTGTGCGGTCTGGCCAACGATTCGTGCGGACTCAGTGCCGTCCCTTGCCCGATCCCAGAGAAAAAGTAGTTTATGGAGCCGACAACACTGATCCTACTCAGTGGAATTTTACTGTTTGGGTCAATTTTCATTTAACTTTATCTCATCTTCACTTCATTCCGGGCGTACAAAATCTGTTTTCGGATTCACCCTGTTGGTCTAATTACTGCTCATCACTGTGACCTCATCGGTGTCCGCTGTTGGTACCTATTGCTTGCTGAACTCCGAAGAATATAGATGGCAATGGACCAACTTTCTGACCGGAGCACCCATACCGTTTTACGCCTATATGTATTCCACATATTACTTTTTCTTCAAAACGAAAATGAGCGGCTTGTTCCAGACCACGTTTTACTTTGTTTTGTCTGTCTCTGGGTATTATGTGCAGTACCTTCTTGGCTGTAAGTCGATTTATCCGAAGAATCTACAGTACTGTCAAAGTGGACTGTGGGCTNCTCTCTCTCTCTCTCTCACTCACTCGGGTACGTAATGTGACTGTTATAATGTTAATAACACAGTGATATCGGCTACCACCAGTAATCACGATAAAGGTCACGGTGCCACTTGACCCCATCTGATAATGGGAGTTAGTATGACGGACAACGAATCATTCAGCGCACCACATACACAAAGACATGATGAAATATCTGTTGACTTGTGATTCTTTCCTCTGAGTCACTTTTGATTGTAAAACCTGTCTTGAGAAAGGTTATCCACGGTAACCGAAACGTCGATGAATATAAATCTCTACCGATATCGATGTATTATTAACATTATAACATTTACAATAAAAACAATACATGGCGCATCGATTTTTCGATACACTCCTAACCTAATTTGGTCCTGATGTATTATAAAAGCATTAGGGTACGCTTTCAACCGCCCATCTATCACTCGCCTCATGTCCGCCGTGATTTCTTTACATACTTGTTTCCCTCCTCTTCCACTTATCTCAGTATGGCTTTGTATCTGTCCACCATCTGGCCGCGTTGATTACGACACAGATTTACAAAACTCGCGCATATTGAGTCTATTGAGCTGAATTGTTGTCTTCCTGCTACTTTGTCAACCCTCCAGCCAGCCAGCTGCTTGGGCACCGCCT